AGATCAGCAGATGAACAGCCCCTTCCACGGATCTTATCACCAAACTGCCCAGATATCACAGAATCACAGAATGGGTGGAAGGGACCTCTAGAGATGATCTAGTCCAACTCCCCTGCTCAAGCAGGGACACTGAGAGAACATGACACAGGGTCACATCCAGGTGGTTTTGGAAGGTCTCCAGAGAAGGCGAATCCACAACCTCTGTGCTCCAGTGCTCTGTCACCCTCACAGTAAAGTTGTTCTTCCTCATATGAGAAAGGAACTTCCTGCGTTTCAATTTATTCCCAATACACTTTGTTCTATTGCTGGCCACCACTGAGAAGACAAATTTAGCCCCATCCTCTTTACATTCACCCCTCATGTATTTGTACATGTTGATAAGATCCCTTCACAATCTCCTCCTCTCCAGGATAAACAGGCCCAGCTCGCTTAGTCTTTCCTCATAATTATAGACATTCGAGTCCCTTAATAATCTTTGTTGCTCTATGCTAGATCCTCTCTAGAAGCTCCATATCCTTCTTATACTGGGGAACCCAGAACTGCACCCAGTACTCCAGGTGCAGCCCCACCAGAGCTGAGCAGAGGGGCAGGATCCCCTCCCTTGCCCTGCTGTCAACACTCCTCCTAATGCAGGCCAGGATCCCATTGGACTTCTTGGCCACAAGGACACACTGCTGCCTCATGGTTAACTTGCCAACCAGGACTCCCAGATCCCTCTCCATGGAGCTGCTTTCCAGCAGGTTGACCCCTAATCTGTCCTGGTGCCTGGGGTTATTCCTCCCCAGGTGCAGGACCCTGCACTTGCCCTTGTTGAACCTCATGGGGTTCTTCTCTGCCCAACTCTCCAGCCTCTCCAGGTGCCTCTAAATGGCAGCACAGCCCTCTGGAGCGTCAGCCACTCCACCCACTTTGGTGTCATATGCAAACTTGCTCAGGGTGCACTCTGCCTCCTCATCTAAGTCACTGATGAGTAATTTGAACAGGCCTGGACCTGGTACTGATCCCTGGGGGACCCCACTAGCCACAGGCCTCCAGCTAGACTTGGCTCCATTTACCACAGCCCTCTGCTCTGCCATGCAGCCAGCTCTCAATCCACATCACTGTCCACTCGTCTATCCCACTCCTCCTGAGCTTCCCTATGAGGAGACTGTGACAAAAGCCTTGCTGAAGTCAAGGTAGACGACATCCACGGCTCTCTACTCATCCATCCATATGAAGTGACTTATTGACAGCTAACTGCTGGAAGTGATGCTATGTTCTCACATTTCATAAACTTTCTTCCTGTTATATGCATGAGCCAAATGCATAATAGAAAGAGCCAGTTATGGCCTTACGACTTTTCACTGAGCATTCAAAACCATTCTGCCTGGTGAGAGACCTTCAGCATCACATTAACATCCTTTCAATCCTATTTATTTCTATTCCTCTGTCTGCAGAGCTCCTGCACAAAACCATGTCACCCACGCTGTGTACTAAGAAACAAGTATTACCAGCCTCAATAAAGGGATAAGCTCAGTAAAATTCTATGGGCAGAACTTTACAGAAAATCTGTCAAAATAATTCAAAGGTCAAGTATAATGAAGCCAAGAAGTATCTTCCTTCTCTCCTGGGAAAAAGCCTGAAAAATTGCTACTCCAAGTCTCAGCCAGCCAATCATCATGCAGAAGAGGTGACTAAATCCTCCTTGGCCTATTGCAATACATTTGTAATTCAGAAGTCTTTAATGCTATGAGTAAAAGAAAGACAAGCACACTATGCAGAGGTCTGTATGCTGTAGAGTATAAGGCAGTATGCACACGACTTTAGTTGTCAAATCATTCATTTATCATTCATTTGGGATAGGAAACTACACTTACCACTTCTCATTAAACACCTCTGTTTAAAGAGATGTTCCTGAAATGACAGAAGGTAACAATATTCCTGTGTTAGTGTTGCTTCTGGAACAAAAAAAAAAAAAAAAAAAAGACTCCAAACTGGACAAGCAGCCTTGGCTATTTGTCCCATCATCATCATCATCATCATCATCATCATCATCATCATCATCATCATCATCATCATCATCATCATCATCATCAAAGAGTTAGAAATGGATAAGCCCAGACTGTTCTGTTAGCTTCCATAGTGGCTGAATTGATGGTTTCTGGGCTATCTCCCTTGGGAATATTTGCCTTAACAATGAAGGTCTGTTGTACCAAGACCTTGGAAAGATGATGTCTGTCTACAGAAAAAGAAAATCCTCTAAGTCATCACCACTGAGAAGGCCTGATTGAGGTGGGAAGGGAGGAAGGGAAAGGAAGCTGTCCTCCAAAAGACAGCTGAGAAGCAAATACCTCTTGACTACCTCAAAGTAAGAAGGAAGGTGGACCAACCTCCAGCCTTCTATTACCTTTCTTGCACCAGATGAAGCCTTAGACTCTATTGGGGTTTCCTGCACAGTTAGTGTTGGACTGCATCGAGCTGGAGGGAGCTCTAGTGTGAGTCTCAATTTGAGAGAGGAGGATATAGCAGCAGGTTTGCAAGTACCCAGGGCTGCAAAACATCTAAAACATACAGGAATTTGAGTCCAAGTAACTCTGTTACTGAGGTGACCCAAAATATAGTAGCAGTGTTTGAAAAACTATCAGTTCTGGCTCTATTCAAACTGTCTGATTTTAGGATGTATCACAAATCTCTCTGATAAGGGATATTAAAGAAAAGGACCAAAGTGTAGTATGGATCTTTGAAGAGGTTTCCATTTTCTAAGGAATGCTTATTTTCTGATCAGCCTGAAACTGCTACAACCAGACAGGAACAGGTGCTGACTACAAGTCCAGAGACTAACTCAAGCAGAGCAGCTAACAGGGCAAAATCCTGGCAAAACTGTCCCCAACAAAGAGCAACACCCAAAACCGAAACTGAACCCAAGTACACAAGTACCACAGACTTGTCAAAGCTGATGCAATACTCAGATTTTTGCAATAACAGGACTCCCTCTGACAAACATGACAACAGCCCGTCAGGCATTAAGAATTCAGTGATAACACTCATTTGACAATTGTGGTATGTTATTTTGAGCTCAGTGGCAACTTTCAGGTAAAGCAACAGACAGGTTGAAATTGCCTATGCTCTTTGCTGGGAAATGTGTGGAGAGAAAAGACTAATCTACAGCTATGGCCTAGTTCCTTTAGGCCAGGTTACTCAAGGAAGTGAGGGACTCCTGTGAGTATTGTCCTGGCCAGTGTTCATCAAATTCACACTTGCCAACTCTTGCTATATCTTTTCATAATGTTTCTGTAAGTCTGTCACCAAAAAGTGAGCTAAAAGCTCACTTAACCAGCTCTAGTTCTAGAAAAGTCTGTCATTCTTCAGTAATTTACCTACAGGAATAATTGACACACAGTTACACAAGTCACACTTCTAGATGTGCTGGACTTTTCTTGACCTTTATCAAGTATAAGTTGATTTTCTTCTCCTTTCCTAAAGCAGGAGAAAAAAATCTATCCCCCAAAAAGCAGCTCCAGAACACCTGCTCTTTTTTTTTCACTCCATGAGTTAATATTTTTAATACTATCTGAAGAACTGTCAAAGGGGTGGTGGACTTATTTTTGAAATTTCTCATTAGCAGAGAGGAGTAAATGTAACATATATTTATCTTACAATATATATACATGCAGCTATATATCCATGCTAGATTATCAACATCTGTATTTCAGTGGACAAATACAACTCTTACCTCTTGGGAATAAAATACAATTGTTTCCAGAGTTACTGACCAGATCTGATGCACTACCCGTTACCCATGTTTTCTTTACCAAGTCCACCTTTACCCATCGATGTGTGCATTCACCATTTAGCACATTCCCAGGAAATGTTTTCATCATCTCTTCTGTTGTTCTTTGGCAATAACATTGACATTCCGGTGCTGTTATGTTTTGCCCAAACATAACATTGCTGTATTGTTTATTTATAATATGGATATGTAAATACAAATTTTCCCCAAAGCCACTGCTTGAGTGCACTGGCCAAAAAGTAGTTAGGCTGTGATGATCACACAATCCTAATATGCAGCAATGTACCAAGTAGCTATATTTTACATTATATATTTATTTAAAAACTACAATGCTGCAAACAGACTATTGGTATCTCATTCTATTTCTTCAGCGTGCTTCTTTGTGTGCAATCACAATACAACTTGCAATACCTCTTCACACATTATTTATTTCAGTAATATTTAGATTCACTACATTGAACAAGTTCTGGAATTGCTGAAGCCAAATTGCTCTTCATATAGGTAACTGCAGCTTGCACCCATGTGTGATGAGAGAGAACACTGTTGACTGTGAGCAGAAATGGTAATGGTCCCTTAAACAAATATATATGTTTAATTTAATTAATTACATGTCACTGAAGAATGAAGGTCCACCATCCATACATCCTTGTCATTCAGCATGACAAAAGTTGAAATATTTAATATTCTTGATAAGACATGGCAACTCGTGACAAAAAAGCACCTGGGAAGCAGAACTTTTTTAAAGGCTGGACATCATTTAATTCAGGTTGTTTAAAATCAAATAATATTATTTTAATTGATACCATATGATCACCACTTTCCGCATTTGAAGAGAGCTTCATGGATTTGCTATCAAGGGTCCCAGTGAAATGACACAACATTTTGCAGATAGAGGAATATTAGGCCCCAAGATAATAAAAGATTGCAAGGAGGGTATTAAAACTATGTTCTTATCACACAGAGCTGAATATTTGCATTTTGTGCATCACAGTGAGCCATGGTTAAGAACACAGACTAGTCCATTCAAAATTGAAATTAATCATCAAAAAGCAACTACTCGCTCAGCTGAATTATATGACTTTTAAGTGAATACTTCAAGCTGTCTTCACTGGAAAGACTACTTTGATAGAGATGGCACCCAGCAAGAACTCTTAAATAGCTAATACATTTGATGCATCATTCTGGCCCATCCTGATAAACTGGGAAAGAAGTGAGAGAGGAAAAGTGCAGTTCAAGCAGAAGGCTGAGACTGTGGCACTTGGTGGCTCTGAGCTTGCTTCTTCCGTGCCACAGCAGTGCGCAAGGCCTGAAGGATCATGCTTTCGTTATTCATGATGTTGTAATTAGTCAGCTTCAGGAGCTTGTTGAAATCATCTGCTTTCAGCGAGACCTCCCGAGTGGAGTATGGAGAGCAGCAGCCGGAGATATCAACCTTGCCCTGGTCCATCTCCACAGCACTACGGGTCATGCCTGTTGAGGGCAAAGAGGCGGTGAATTTGACTGCTGAGGTGTTTGTACCGTCCCATGGAATTAGTGAAATGAAAATATTGCACTCTGATAGACTATGGCAGGAACAGAGAAATCGTAACTCTAGTTGCTGCAAGGACATGTGCCATATTTTGATCTCCAAAAAATTGACTTTTAGACAAGCCAAAATGCAAAGAAACAAAAAAAAAAAAAAAAAGAAAGTGACACTGAAAGAGATTCCACTGCAATTCCCACCTTCCAGTGTCAGTCACAGCAAGTCACTCGGTGTTTACAGATGCTTCAAGTTTCACCCTGCAGATTTTTGAGCAATATATATATACCGCTCATAAACTCACACACGACAGGGACATATAATAATAGAGATAAATAGAAGAGGAAGCAGAATGTTAGTAGCTTTGGAAATTATCATATGAACAAAAGCAGTTTCTTGTCCAAAAGGACACTGTGACAGTGTTCATGAAGTCCTTAGGTAACATTCTCTTGCTTTGATATCTTAAGATGTATATCAAACACAATGAACACCCCAAGTAGAAAGCTACAGAACCATTTTATACTGTAAAGGTAATTTTCCCTTAGTCTAGCTATGTTACAAAAATATACAGTCTGAAAAAGAAGCTGTGTGTTAAATCATAAAGTAATCTCTTGGAGATCTCCAGAAGAAATTAGTTCCTACTCTTCTACTCAAGGAACATATTTCTTCTTTCACTGAATTGTACTAAGACTAGTATCTAAAATTATATGCCAGATTTGATCTGATTTTTCAAGCAGTTTGTGTCATCCTGTTTTGCAATGAATTTACTAGTAGGTACAAGCAATTAAAGGGGAAAAAAATGTATTAGGATAAAAAAAGCACTCGGAGAGCAGAAAAAGTTAACTGGATTAATAAAATAGCTGAATATTGCTAACTTACCAGGTGCTACAAATCTTTGGAAGCTGTCATTCACCAATGGGAAATACAGCAGTATCGGAGCACCTGGGGTCTCCGTATCATCAAACATGTAGCACTCCTTCAGATTCTTCTTCTCATCTTCCTGCAGCACAACTTTGGGAAAAGGAAGTCCCTGCTCGGAGAAGTATCTACAGGCCTGTTCCAGAGGCTGGGTCACAGCCAAACAAGAGTAAAAAATTCATAAGAAATGAAAAAGATACAAAGATTAAGCTGCTTCTGAAATCCAGAAATTCATCCAAGTTGCACAAAATAGCACAGAGTGCTGTAAAGCAGGCAAGAACATGAGCAACTACAGTCCAAATAGAAGTGCAAATGTGTGTTCTTATGTGGTGTTACTTGAGTAGACTCCAGTTTAAAAGCCTATATAACAATTTTAATCTATTCTGATTTCTGTAAATACAGCAAATTCATTTGACCTCTTACTACTAGTCCTCTGTAAAAAGATGGAAATTTTATTTATTCTTTTTTTTTTTAATAAAAGTGAAGGACTTCACTCAAATATTTGTTTTTGAACAGCCAAGGAATCCCATTCACAAATAAAAGGACAATTTTTTTTTTTTTATGTTTAAAGAAAATGCATGTTCAAGTTAGCAACTCAATTTCAGCCAACATTTTTGCAGCTTATTTTTTTTCTTTAGCATGTTATATAAAACTGTAATTGAAGTTGCAACTCAACCATAAGTTTACTATGCTCACTAGAGAAGTACAGTGCTCCAATCATTCCACTTAGGGCTATTTCGAAAGTAATTTGAGAAAAACACAGATATTCTCTTCTTTGTGAGTTCTTGTTCTTCTCTTGGAAACATCATTTTTCTAAGTTCTATTAAAAAAAAATTACAGATGCCTACTTGTATGCTACAAAAAGCAAAGCCTTTTTTAAGCAAAGAATATTTGAGTGCTCTTACCAAGGTTTGAGATCCACCAGTATAATTGAGGTGCAAGATGACATCCACCTTCCTCTCTGGTCTCATAAGTGGTGGGCAGCTAGTTTCAAAGAAGAAAGCAGCATCTACCAATTCCAGGTGCTCTGAATTGCCTCTCAGATCATTAGGAGACATGTCTAGCAAGGTGTCTAAAAGAGTAGAATATTTGCAGTTATTAGCAAATTGCAGAAAGACATCTGTCTGGTCAGAAAGCAAAAGAAAGGGAGGAAAAATCCTCCCATGCAGGATTTTCTTTTTGATTGATGATATTGCTTACCATTGTTTTATAAAAGTGTGGTTTTCCACAGTCTGACAGTATATTACTGTGAAGTGTACCCTCGTTTTTTTTCATCCCAGTACAGATGGGATGCAATACCACATAATTCAAACATTAATCAAACAGTTGTATGATTGAAACTGAAGGAAGTAACATGTTCCTCGACCCTTCCTCACCTCTTTGCAGCAATTAATAACAATTAACCACTCTACCTTTCCATTTAGAGAACTGCTCATGCTGGATGTACTCATTGTGCATCTGGAAGCCCCTCAGGAAGTTGTGGTATTTCGACACAGCGGGACGATCCGTTAGAATATCCCGGAGAGCCGTGGAGAGGCCACTTGCAGGCGTGTACATGCATGTTGCCATCTCGTAGGGCTTCTCAGGCAAGTCTGGTTGCTCTTCTACAATACATGACATAAATATTGTACAGTCAAATTATCATCATAATTGAGAAGAGACCAGGCAACCAGATGAGAAAGGGCCATTTTCTGTGCCAGTAGCAATCAAGTACTTAAACCTCTCAGACATCACCTTAAGGGTTGAATCAAATGCCTGATGAATATCAGCAATAGTCAGCAAACCACTTTTGATCTAGGGCTACAAAAATAACTGAAATTAAAAGTGAGAGTAAATCTAAACAGTACTGCCACAATGTCAGGTTCATAGAACAATTCGTTACTTCTATACATAATTTTTGGATGTTCTCCTGGACCCGTAAGAATATTTTTCCCATTTCCACAAAACAGGAAAGACAAAGCATTTGAAAAGAGTGTCATTGTATCTAAATATGTTATCTTATTTTTTAAATACCTATGTTTCAGCAATGCATTATATTTCTCTATTGTCTGCAATGAATTCCAGTGAATTCCTTGACAAATGTAAGTTCTGTTTATGTTAAATATATGTGTATATATAGTATCTTATTTATAAACTATATATAAATTAAAACTAATGATATATATAAAACTGATGTATATTAATTAAAATTATTTTTAAAAATATGTGTAGCATTTATATTAATATAACTTAAACTTGGTTCTCTAAAGTCTTAATTTGTCATATCAGACAAGTGATCAGAAGGATCATTTTTCTTATGAAATAAAATAATTTCAGTCCACATTAAAATAATTTACTTTTCCAGGCAAAAAAAAAAGCAGAAAAAAGTCACCTTATATATATAAGTGGGGTAATGCTTTTGGAATTTCTTTTAGGTTAAAACTGTAATTCAAAGCTTATATTGAGAAGATAAATGTCTCAGATATAGATTAAATATTTTGACTTTTAAAAAACAGTGCAGTTTAGTTTGGGCTTTCTAAGTCATTTAATTTCCATGGTGCCTCCCCTGTCTCAAAGTTGAGGACATGGGAATGACAGGAAAAACTCATAGAATGAGAAGAGTGTGTAGTTACAAAATCACAGGGACCAGGAAAAGTCAAAGGGTGCTTCAGTTTTACCTATTTCAGTTACTTTGTCTTGTGTCCATCTGTGCCAGAAATCCTCTGAGTTGTCAGCTGCATGCCAGGCATCCAAGAGGTTTTTGGAGAAGATACTACTCCACATTCCTAAAAATACAAGTGTAATTAGGAATACTGAAGTGCTTTACTGAACTGTTTTTTCTCCTTTCACAGGAATGACAACTTTTTTTTTTTTTACATTTCTCTCCAATTTTTACATAAGCTCAGATATTTATTTCAGCTATAGAGTTGATTCAGAATTTTAGAATTCAGAATTTTAGAAGAAATTTCAGATTATTTTCCCTTACAAAATCTGGAACTATGCACATTTTTGACAAATACCAAATTGAAATTTTTCCTTTTTTATCTCCTTTTTCCTCCCACAGAGAAGTACTTCAGATCACTCTTTCTCCCATCTCCTCTTTTTTGGTCCCATCTATTTCTTCTCAATATTTTCTTCATCCTCTGAAAAGTCTTATAGGTTTCCAACTTCCAAAAGGAGAAATAGCAGAGTCTCTAAAGCACTTCTGAAGGTGCAATTCTAAAATGCAATAACTTGCCATTTTAGTTTCATCAGAGCTTGGCTCAAATTATAAAACCAACTCAGCTACTGGGGAGATTGGCAAGTCTCAAGAGACATGCTGAATTTTAGCTGATGGACACACTGAACAATTTCTGACATTACTACAGACAGCACATTCAGAATAACAGCTGGCTAGGGAATAATTTCCAACATCACTGTGTTTATATTAAATATCATTTCCTCGGAGCAGTGAGTCACCTTGCATGAAGCAGATGCGAGATTCAGGAACCTTTTTCATCAGGCGACCCATGAAGAACTCGCTGCCAAAATCCTCTGCCCGAATGAAGGCTCCATATTTCAGGAATCCCACCTCATATGGTGTGAATTCCACCCACTCTGCCAACACATTCACAAAGTTAGCTCCAGTAGTCAAGAAGACATGGCTGCTAAAAATTATGAAGTACATAGACATTGAAAAAGCCCCTCAGGCTTTAGCTCTTGCAGGCAAGCTTACATATACCAAGCAAACCCTACTGACAGAGTCACCTCAGCCCAGCTGAAAATTTAACCAGCTCTCACACTTTTTCCAAGTTGGTGAAGGAAATTTAGTGGCTAAGGAAAAAAAATACATTTAGATTCCTTTTCATCTCGAAAGTGAAGAATTCTTCTCATGGGAGGTGAACTCAAGTGCAGTTTAGCATCTATTGCTTTTACTGCCGTTAACTGACCATGAAAAACATATATTGCGTGAACTCAACAAAGCTTTAGTGAATCAATGTCTTTAAGGACTCCTAGCATTACTCTTCTTTCACAGCACCATGTATCTGCAATGTGTTTAACCTGAAGATACTGTCTAAACATCTAGACTTACATGTCAGTCAATTTTACCAAAAAAAGGCTAACAAAATAATAAATTATTGCTATGCCTATCCTATAGCATCCCACTATTGTTTATATCTCTACATAGGACTTCTTGGGCTTCAAGCATGAGTTTAGAACAATCATTCATTATTTTTAGGATCTCTACTCAGACTATATCTCCTTAGACATGAGCTCACCTCTCTTCCCTCAATTGCAATATTACCTCTAAAATCTTTGGTGGTAACTTTGTCCTTGACATTGAGAGCAAGGTAGATGGGCAGCGGGTTCTGGCCCTGATTCACTGCCCTTCGTTGGTCAGAAAGTCTGTGGTGACATTTCTGGATTTGAAAAAAAAAAAAGAGAAAGAAGAGAAAAAAAAAGTTTAACTGATAATTAGTTCCATTAATTTACTACAGCATTTTAATGTGGGATATCATTCATATGAATTTCTACCTATATAGGCGCTCTGTGTTCCCCAGCTATCAGTGCAAATAAGTGGACATTCTACCTACAAGTCAGATACTGATATCTTAACAACTATATAGAATTTTGTTGTGTATCAAATCTCTAAAAAGTCATTATTTTTCTGCCTCTTCCTAGGATTTTAATTTCTGCTAGTGGCCATGAAGGTCACCAAATTTCTGAGAGCAAATGTGTATAGGCATTACCCCATCATTTAACATGGCTTCAATCATAAGTCCCCACAAATCAATGAAAGATGTCCTGTGTCCTGCTTGGGTCCTTTGGCTCAACTCTTTGTAATAGTTCCTCAGACTTCTCAAGCAGAAGGCTCCCATCTTGCATTTGGCTGCTTGTTTACGAGCCTCAGTTATTGTTTCTCCAAGATCCTTACGTGACCAGTCTGCATCTTCATACAATTTTGTCATAGTCCTGCAGACAGGAAATAAAATGGGAAGAGAAAACAAATGAAGTTGATTATTTCAAAATTCATGGGATAAATTTTGGCACATCTTTTTTTTTGCCTTTTTTCAATCTGTGTGTCACATCTTTCCTTTGAGCCTACTTTGAACAGAGATATAGGTCTAAAGGTAATCAATTAAAATGAATTGATCCCAAAGCATGCAGCTTGACCAAATATCTATGCTGTCCCAAAACCGTAAAGACTCATTTTGCATAGGAATAATTTTCAAATGTCCAATAAAGTCTCCTCATTTAATTATGGATAAATTACATAAATGACATGGAATACATGATGTATTTACTATACGTTTTTCATGGCATTTATAGGCCATAGACAGAAGCAGTATCTCAAGAGACTGTTTTCACTTGTTGAGATCTGAAAGACTAAACAAAGCATGGGTTTTGCTTAATGCGATAAGATCCACAAAATATCTAAAATTGTGTATATTTACACAGACATTTGTGTGCGTGTATAAATGGAGAACCTAATCAAGACTGTGAGCTTCGGGTTTCATGAAAGAGTACTGAATTTCCAAGTGCATATTCCTGCAGATAAATTCTTTACAAAATCACTTCTCACCATGTTGTACCAGATGAGCCACTGATGTATGAAACACAATCCAGAACATTTAACTTTTGAAGGCCCAAAATGCTGCCATACATGGCAGTGAGTGCTCTTATCCCACATCCTGCTGTAGTCACAGCCACTATAGGCACCTGCTCAAGGCAAAAAAAGGCAGAAAGCACAGGTTGAAAAGTGACACTGAGGGACATTCACATAAGACAAGACAACAGAACTATTAATGGAAAGATCTGGATGCTGGTAAAAAAGAAATGTAGATTACAGGAAAAATGGCATTGCTCATAAGTAACATGGAGCACTTAAAAATAACTCAAATTGCTTGACATCACTTTATAATACAGTGAAAGATATTGCCACTTTTGGCAATGTTTTTGAGAAAAAATGTGACACAGGCCAAGTGCATTGATTTGAAGTTCTTTCAAATGATTCATTGCTTGAAAACCAAGCTGAAAACAGAGAATTTGCTCATTCAGGCAGACGAGTGGACTATAAGGTTTAGACTGGAATTAGGAATTGTTGTCAAAGGACCTCATCCCTCATCCGAATAGAGGGGGCCCACAGGGAAAGAGCGTGTCCGCTCTCATCTCCTGGCCTGAGGGAAAGGAGAGACAAAAATCCCCCTAATGGTGCCTTTCCCAGCGACCTCGTGCTCTTGCAGGTCTTCCTCCAGGTGAAGGACTTCCTTCAGCGCGGCAGCCACCACCTTCTTACGGTTTTGCAGGAAGTTCTGCTCGTCTGCACACAGGTCGAACCCCAGGCGAGCGTCTAGATTTCTCGGCCTGTAAAACAGACCCTGAGTCCTGCAACCAGGGTGAAAATATTATGTATTATTACTTGCTGTAGTTAAGCCACAGACTGATGTATGGATAGTATTGTGTGAAAAATGGGAAAGAACAACATCCTAAATAAATGGAAGGTGAGAGATGTGTACTGGCTAAATATTTACTAAAATGAGCAGTATTTCAGGCATGTTCTTTTGTTTGATCATGTAATTGATCTTTCAGATTTCAACAGCATCTACCATATATGCATATAACAGGGTACACACTGGCAGTACGTGCTGCACTGGTGAGGATGGCAGCTGTAGTGCCTTGGTTTCACTTGGCATTGTACAGAAATGCAATTTCTGTGTGGGCCTGCGCTCTCTGTCTGCAGGCCTTGTAGTGCACACAGCGAGATCTACTTTCTGCACTAATGGTTTGGAAACTGGGGGGAAAAGGAACCATGATTTAACTCCATCACTAGAAAAGAAATGAAATGAAAGCCTGTAATCAAAGTATCCAAACAGCTGAGTTTACAGCTGCGTGTGCACAGCCCCCTCCTGACTCCCCATGGGTTTTTTGGGGTGCGATAGTTGCAATCACAAGATTAGTGGGAGACCCACTTACTTACCATCCATTTGCCTTTGCGTACAAGTCGAACGTCCTGTCCTGCAAATCGCAACACAAACAGCGTAAGAATTCTCACACTGCTAAGCCTCCCCCTGCATCCATCGACTGAGTTTTACTAGTGTTGCCATCAGCCATGCAGCAGCCGAGCCAAATCCTGCAAGGATTTGGCTTATTAGCTGTATAATGGGCTCCAGTGCAATGTAAGTGGAATAGAACCGCAAGTCACGTGGATTTAGGTCTTCAAAAGTTTCCGTAGCTGAAAATTAAATTACTTAAATGTCCTATTCATTAAAGTCAGCTCACATACTGTATCAAGGAGCATCAGAGAAATGTCCTGAGGAGATTATCTAGTTTAAATTCAGAACAGGGTTTATCTGCATGTCTGGAAACACACATAAAATAAACACATACACACACAAAAAAAAGAAATATTGTTTAGCTGCATTGGCAGAGAGTGTTGTTCATACCCTATACTGTAGAATGCGTCATGGCTGAGTAGAGTTTATGTATATATCATCATATCAAACACAGAACTGAATGTGTGCTGGGCTGACGTTTCTGAGAAAGACAGATTCTCACCTCTGCTATCGTTATTTTCTCTTGTATAGGAAGTGAGGTCAGAGCTAGAGTCACAGATTCATTCGCAACCATTTCATTTTGACTTGATATGGACTGGAAAAAAAAAAAGTTTAAAAACAATAAGAGAAATTATTTGTTATACAGGAGGGAGGGGAGACAAAAGAAGCCTCCCCTGCATACATATACGTGCGAGTTCCCCACATACACTCAGACCTGCACACATACAGCAAAGACACACACACAGCAAAGAGCCATCTGCGTCCTGGCTCTGTCACGTACCCTGCTGAGCCGTCTCCGCTGTGGCAGGGCCACATTTAATGCTGATTGATTGTACTTGATATAGTGGAATCTGGCAGGAGAAGTCGGGCAGAGACAGGAGCTCAGGGTATGAGTCTGGGTTCCTTCGTAGGAGCCATCCACAGTTAAGGCAAACTTTCTTTCTGGAGAAATGATAGAAAAAAGCATGTCACTCTCCCACGATCTTTGCTACTTTGTAAGTTAATAACACTCAAAGACACTGCATATTACTACACGCTCTTCATAGCTGTATCAAAACATTGATTAGTTGCCTGTCTAGCAACTATTCAAACTCCACCAATGCTCTTTTAACTCTGCAGGATTTAAGGTTACTCGGAATAGGCTGCAAGTAATTTATGCTGTGGGCTACAAAGGAGTTTCAAGCTGAAGTTCGTCAAAACAGAAGCAGTTAGCTTTATAAAACTGACACTCCTTGTCTTGCACATCAAAGTATTATGTCTTTTCCTTAAGAAATGACTTTATTTTGGTATCCAGATTACAAGATATTCACTTATCTGCTGTATAGTGACTGCTGTAATTAATATAATATCGTTGCAGTATCCTATACTCTGTTGCTGCTGAGATCTCTGCTGTTCATTACAGACCTATATATAGATTATTGCACCTTTTTGTCCCCATATAGCAGACATTTTTGTTCCATAGTAGGACACAATTTCCTTTGGGATCAGTACAAATCAGATCCCGTGCATCATCTTTACCTTTATTTTAACATGCAATTATTTTTATATGCAATTTCTATCTAGCACATACAAAAATAGTATCCAATGATGTTTCTTTTGGTTATGCGGCCCTCTGTCTTCATCTTGCCTATTTTGTTGGTCTCTGAACCCAGAAGTATCAAGGAGCCATAAGGATTTTACTCCAGTTAAGGGTTCAGAAGATTTCCATCTTATGGATAAATATTTTGTAAAGTTACAAGCATCTAACAAGATGTTATTATAGCAGGAGGTATTTGCATGGAAGCCAGACGATGCCTTCACCCTCCATTCTTCAATAATCAATGTATTTTAAGTAGTTAGGCCCACTTCTAGAGTTCTTTGAACTCAGTGGGAATTTCTCTTGCATTTAAAATAATTTAAAATCGGGGCCTGCAAATGTAGAAAGCTGAATGCATTTTCCTATAAAGTGGCCTGCAGTCTCGCTCTGCAAGTCAGTGAAGTACAAACCTGGGTTCTCCTTCCTCAGCCTTCCACCGTTCACCTGCACATCCAGGCAGGAGACCTCTCGGGACTGCAAGAGAGGAGAAGAGGAGGAGAGGAAGCCTCACAGCACCCCGGGCACGCTGCTCGCCTTGCCCCAGCCCCACAGCAGCCGGTCAGGGAAGGACCCATCAGCGTCACCCCGAGGCCCCGGGACCCCTAGCCCCACGGGCTAGGAAACAAGCACCACAATGCTGTGGGAAAAGAGGTATGGAAGAGAAATTACCACTAGGACTCCATTGGTAGTAATGTTCTCAGGGGGATCCGGGCTAAAAGACAAAACAAAAAGTGATCAATTCGCAACTATTCCTTTTTTTTTTTTTTTAGCTCTTCATTATTTTTGCCTTATCTTTATTTTTAAAAGTGTGTGGATGGAAAGCACAAGCAAACAGTCTGAGAAATTGTAGATGTGTATTCAGTCCAATTTGCCTTTCATGTGGAGCCTTAATGTTAAACCTGGGCTGTTCTGTTTCTGTAGACCTGCTAAACCCCTTCCCTAATAGAAGCTCCTTAAAACAGATCCTTTCTGAGACACATGAGGAGCAGAGTTACACAAAGATGACAAAATTACACAATTGCCCCATATTGGTCAGATTCACACCTGGGGTGCTACAGCTAGAAGCATATGCCATTAATAAAAAAGAAAAACACATTACCATTTATCTTAAAAATCAACAGCAACCCAAGGCCTGATTTACATGCCCCTTCTCTTGTTTAACTATATAGTCAGCACAGAAATACAGTAAAAATTTTTTTTAATCTCATCCCCCAATGAAAACAAATTCAAAATATCATTTTCCCACATTTTTGTAGCAAAGCATATATCCATGACTACATAGTTAGGAAAAAGAGAGGATTTAAAACTTTCTTCTGGGATGAAGATCTGGAATATAGGATGCCAGATATGGCCTGTGCAATGGTAGCATTCAGGAGACATTTCTCTGCTTCAGCCAGTGTCCATGCTTGCTTATCAGTGTATCTGAATGCCCAGGATGATAAACCCACGCCATGCACTGCCAGCAGCTTTGCTGTTAAGTGCCAAGCACAAGTTTTCATTCCCTGAGTGCCCAGGGGATGCCTCCCGTTTCATTAAAACTGAAGCAGTGTTAGGAGGGCACAAGTATGCATAGATCTTTTGTATCTGTAACATCTTGTCTCTGACTTATCATTTCCAGCAGTCACATATTTGACTTTACTCACCTGCTCTCCAGTATGAACTGAACCTCCAGCTCCTCTTCTCCCTGGGAAAGAAAATAAATGAAGTCACTGGGCACCGATTTTTCCAGGAAGTCAGGGAACTTCAAGGTGCAGGAATCTGGACTGTTCATGGACCTTCTCTAAACTAGGATCCACCTCTTTTTGCTGTATATGCAATGGATTTCATTAGATTTATCCATGCTATATCCATTATAGTAGGTGTTTAGCTCTGTATATTAGTTTAGACCACGTAGGCCAAATGTTGTTTTCCTCAGTACTTTTCTCTGAACCACTAGTTCCAGTTGGAAAGGAACATCTAAAACTTTTGAGGTAAATTCTCAACATTTTGGCATCAAAGATGGCAACAAGGCGTATCTATATCCAATTCTCTCTATGGAAAAAGTATCCAAAATTTATTGTATTTACAAAAGTTTCACACGACCCCTTAAACTGATGTACACTCATGGGGCTGAATGGACAGTAAGAAAGGCATGTGCAAAAGACAGTAAGAGGAAAGCTGAAATAACCAAGTAACCACATTCTCATTTGGCTATCTTTCAGTTATCTTTCTGATTTTTAACTACCTGTGGATTCAGCTGGAAACAGAGCTGAATATTTTCTCCAAGCTGGATTTTGGAAACATCAAAGAAAACAGTAAGGAGATGGTCATCTTGAGTTGTGCTGTCCTCATCGCAGACTTTCAGCTCCAGAATGTTCTAGTAATAAAAAAAAAAAAAAAAAGTTTAGCAAACAAAATCCTACAGATAGTTCATTTTAGCTGGAGGAATTGAAGAAAGAAGTTCAAGAATGAAAGCAAAAAGCAAAAGAAACAATAGAGACCTTGCAGTTGCTCCATCAAGCCCCATCATCTCTTCAAAAAGTTAAATAACTGCACTTAGTGTGAACATTTTGCAAGTGATTTCAGAAAGACAACGCATGGAAGGGCCATACATTACATCTGATATCTGGTAGAAAGGTTTACTTGAGGGCAAGGAAAGAACTAGTAGCTCAGTAGCTGTTGGCAGCCCAGTGGTCAGCAAGAACCCAGAGAGTGAACAACAAAGGATGGCAGGAGAGCCACTGTTCCTACCTTAACCTGGCTCTGAATGGTGAAGTGGAAGGTTTCGTTCCATGTTGGGTTCTTGCTGTTACGAACTGTCTTGGTGCGGAACTGCTGGACCGAAGCTGTGGGCAGGCGCAAGCTCACGTAGCAATCAGACTGGGTGACTGTGAGAGAGGAAAGGTGGGAAAGCCAAGAATCAGAGAATGACATTTAGGTTTCCACAAGGAGTTGCAGTGACCTAATTTTCAAGTTTTGTATGGAGGACAGTATGCACAATGTAGTCCAGGGTGATACATAAGGCGCTGTCATGCCAGTGATAAACAAACTGCTTTACTCACTAATCATGCCAGATAGTTCTCTGTCCTTGAGAATGTCACTTGCATGACATTCCTTTCCAAAGAGATAGTGAGTCAGTCTACTTGTATCAAGCTTCAGAGAGTTGAAAACCATTAAAAAATCATTTGTACACACACAGGCATGCATACACACATTACAGGCCTGCAGAGAAGTCATCGGTTTCCTTTGGGAAAAGGGAACTGTGAACTTGAGCAACCTGCCAGAACCGTCTTCTTAACATGCTAGGCCTTCCACAGGGAGGTATCTACTGTTTTCCCATTTGGAAAGTTGAAGAAGGAAGCATCAATACACCCCTACACACATTGTAAAGCTCATCAAGATGAGAAGATACACACATTTCTGTGTAGAAAGCAGATGACATTAAATCCACTGTTAAATGGATTAAAATGAGCACAATTAACAAAGGTATCAAAATGTTGAACAGTCCACCTGTGTAACATTTCCTTGGAGAAGCAACTGTCCAGAGGGATAGTTTTAGCCAGCAAAGCTCTGTAAATAATTTTGCTTAATGTAACTATTTTCCCCTCTGTCTCTATGCCTTGGTCCAAGAGAGCAATAATGGTGTTTGCAACATTTGATGTGCAAGTGAAAGCTTGTCTATGTTTCCCAGCACAGAGGGAGATGACGGTGACTTCTTTGCACAAGATTGCATTGCTTTAATTTTGTTATGTTGATTAGAGGTGTATTCAGGCCGTAAAGTTGACTCATGAATTTGAATGTTTCTAGGTGCTATGGAGGGCTGCCTTGGAAATTTCGTTTTTCCTTACCCAGATGAAGAGGTTAGCTGTGAATTTTACTTCCTGCCTGCGCTCCATCAGATGTGAGGGATGTTCAAGACCAAGGTTCCAGGATGAAACAGTGGTTAGCAGAAATGCTCCATGCTTAGCTCATCAATGAGCACTTTCATTTTGAGGTCAAAATAATTTGTGAATAGTTTCTGCCAGCCATTGAGAAACAGAAGGTGACCATGAATCACAAGATTAACTAATCCATTGCACCCACACACAAAACTCAGCAATGACTACTCTACCAAACACAATCTGCTAGCTATGGATACCTATGGAAGTACTAAAGACAGTGGGGGTGGAGGGTATTTTATCCACAAATACCAAACACCCTATTAACATTTTATCTCCTCTACTAGCAACTCGAGTGTTCCAGTCATTGGGCAACATCTGGCTTCAGGCAGCCTTGTCCCATTTGAGTTTTTCTGTACATTTGAAGTCAAAATTTTCCTGATTAATCTTTGTGAAATGTCAAGTAAATTACTCGGTCCTTCATGTGAAAGTAAAGGATTACTGAAGCCACTTTTGTTTTGCTTTCTGACTCCCCTGAGACTTAGGCCATCTTTATTTCTCCTATATTTCTGAAATAGGAATAACTTCATCAGCTGAAGGGAGCTGTGAAACTCAGTATATTACAAAACAACAACAACAAAAAAAAACCCAATCAAAAAAAAAAAGAAATCACTTTCTAACACTTTTATTAGCTCCTAAACTTGTGTGCATAGGAAATGTCCCTAGGAAATGTCCCTGACTACTGGAAACTCCAGATGGACAGGAGCACAGATTGCTGTTAGCTGGTATCACCACCAGGAGGGGGACCAGAAGGTGACTGTGGAAAGACTTGCAGTCATCCAAATTTTATTTTACTGACATTTCCCAAAGATATGCTATATTTGCTCTGCTGTGGGGCTACACTTGTGCAGAACAAAAGATTATTTCACAAGTGCAGCAACTCTTTTTTTTTCTGTGATTGAGCTTAGTCATCTATGTGACCATTGCCTGCTGTAATACTGTAGCTTATACATTTGAGAAATGACCACTTGTCAGGAAGGAGTCAGAGCTCTTATTTCTCTTTAGATCTCTGAGTTCCTCCGGGTGACTCCTGTCACAGTCAGCAAACAAGCATGCTGCCCTGCTCCCTTCTGTACAACATGTTTGGTGATGCTTTTTGTGCTTCAGGGTATCACATGAAACCCCACTACCTTTTGTCTATACAATATCTCACCTTACAACACCCAAGAATCTTGTTTCACGTTTCTAGGATACCTCAAGCCTCGTATTTTATCATATCAAATACAGGTACCCGCAAACTGAAGGACTGGTACTCACTAGCTGGTCACTCATACCAATGCCTCTTCAAGGACACGTACAAGATTCCCAATACTCGCCATGGGCTTGTAAATCATCATTATCCTGATACATAGGTGTGAAAAAATCTAACTACAGAAGCTGAAGAAGGATGATTACGTTGAAAAGTGATGCATGTAGAAGGACTTTACAACAGTACCTTGTGTCACTCCTCTCATTGATGACATGTGAACAGCCATCCAATGTGCCTGCAGTGTTGGCTGTGGTATTGCTGTTGGGCAACATCCTGCCCAAAGTAGGTGTGGCAGCATGTATTTAATGAGAGCGTGATCTCTTCATCCAGCTATTAAACTAAGTTTCTAATTATCTTCCAGGATGGCAGCAGGACTGGATCTTAATTGCATTTCACCATTAGAAAGCCCTACAGCAGTATGACCCAAGCTAAAAAACATCATAGCTGTAGTACTGCACAACAACTGAGACAACAACAGAAATATCATGGGCAGCTCAAATGCAGGAGGGTTAAACCAAAAATTTTAATGCCCAATTATGTCTTTTTTTTTATTATTATTATTTTTAATGCTAACAGGCATGACCTCCAGTTTGTCTGTCACCTGAGCAGAAACCTAAGTACCCTTCTCCTCTTGGACAGCCTTTGGGCTCCACTAACCCTATTGGGGGTAGATTTTCCTCATGACAGCCAAGATATAGTCTTTCTTACTGTGCTGAAAGGATTCAAAACGAGTATGTGGTCTCAAACCCAGTTCTCCCAGATCACTGCCTTGGTCATGTTACCTCCCAACTGGAACTACCCATCCCATGAAATGCATGCTATCATTATCTACAGAGAAAAGCATTTTTCTTCCTCCTCAGACACTCTGCTGCTAAGTAGAGATATGGTCAGGGAGGGTGTTGTTATTTTCCAGAATGTAACTTAGTCGATAATTTAGATTATTACTTGTTACTTTAGATTATAATTTATTTTTTATAAGAATATGTGCTCCACCTGCAGAAATTAATTGCATATTTAAAGTCCTTCACAGTGAGATTATGAGAATTCATTCAGTCCAGGAATATTAGTTCCTGCCTCAAGACAGCATATGACATTAATTGCCATCAGCTAATGGTTTTGGGATTTTTTTTTCCATTTTTTTCTTTGCTACGTTTTATCAGTCCATATCTTCTTATTTCATTATCAGATTTCAAGCAGCACCTAGAGCTATAAGTTTCTGTTTTGTAATTGCAACTGCTTAAATATCATGGTGAAGAACCAAAAAAATAACAAAGATACAATAGCAACAGTGTGAGAAAAAAACACTAGAGGAAGTCTGTGGGCTCTTGTTATATGTATCACATTGGACAATAGTTCCTAAAAAAATAATATATTTCACTGGCTCTGTTTCATTTTAGCATCTCAAAGGCTTTTCCATCCATTGAGCTCATACAGAGCAGAACTGCAATTTCAATGCTATATGCTCATGTTTCTAATAATTTTGCAAAATGTACTATATAATGTTATAAAATATTGTATCCAAAATTGAATGAATATAATATAAAACCTCCAAACCTTGGAAGTTTCCAAAATAAAAAGCTTAAATTAATAAACCTTCTTTCCATAAGGATGTAAATAATAAAGAAACAAAAACCCAAAGACCTACTCTTTTACCCTGAGCATATAAAGAAGAAAAATTTTAACTCTTTCCAGACATAAACCTTAGGAGGACTCAAAGATTACAACAGGCAAATGTTTCCATATACGCATCCAAGAATCATTCAAGTTTTCATAACGTGTGCCGGAGCTTGTTACCAGACTGCTGAGTGAACATATCAAAGCATCAAGGGGAAAAGTCCCAGTCCAAGGATTATACACGTGACTGGATCTCATGTTTCATAGAACTTCCAAAAGGCTGATAATGCAGAACATAAAATCAGTCACACTGCACTAGACCAAATGTTCTTCTGAGGGAAGGATCTTGGATCTCAACTGGGAGGGACACCAATGCTGTGAGGAGAACACGACTCCACACTTGGTCCAGGAAGAGTGTAAGGAGAGAGCTCTTTCAGCCCCCACAACTTAAAATTTAGAGGCTTCCTAAGCCAACCTTTACCAGATTTCCCTTCTGTGAACTTGTCCAGTGTCTATCTAGAGCTCACACCAACTTTTGCCATCCATACTATTGTGAGGAGTTCTGTAGCTCAACTACATGCTGAAGGCCACAAGGGCTATAACAGGCCGAGCAGGAAATCTGAAATTCTCTGCTTAGGACACCTTGCTGAAGGATGGATTGGATTGTTGCACATCCAAACCTCAGGCCATTAAGGATCCAGGATGCAGAAGGGATGCACGCCCACCTTTGGGAACTGGCAAGCATTTGCAGGCCCAGGAACACTAGCAGAGCAGATGAACTGGACAGGGACACAGGTGGGCTCAGTGCAAAGGGGAATGCAGAGAGCTCAAACAAGTACCAAATTCACAGGTGAGATCAGTAATGGCACTAATACATCAGTAGGTGCACCTGGAAAATGCTGTGCTCAGCAAAAGGCAATTGCCACGGACATTAAACGGCTAGCAACCTCAGCTTGAGCCAGCAATTGGGTGTATGCAAGGCAGTGACCACTATGAGTTTTGAAAGATCCAGATACAAAAAGTACTGGGTATAAAGGCAAATGGGATGGGGTGGGCAGAGAAGCCCTCAACTCCAGCAGTAATAGAGAGGACATTATAGGCACGTGAACCATAAAGGCAAAAGCATAACTACACCAGCTAGACTTACATACTACCTTTACTCTATCTTAACTAGCCACACTTGTATTCAGCTAGAGCGTTCTCCTCACTCAGAAGCTGACTTGCTCACGGGTTGTCTGTGATTCCTATTTGTAAATCTCCTACTATGGATACCAAAACACTAGTTGCCCTGCATTACAGGGAAGTCATTTTATAACAAAGGACTGTTACTGTTTTCTCCATATTTAATACCTGACTTCAGGATTTTTTTTCCCTATACGATGAAGGTACCCAGCAAGTAAAACACTCCTTTTACAAGTATTGTATTTGGTTTGTAATCTTTTTCTCAATATTTTAGTTGATATTATCATTTCAAATTGATAATAGATCACAGATGTTTGTCATAAAATATTTGTTGCTCTATTTCACCGATAATATCCAACCTATGTTTAATAGCATAAGCCAAAACAGTTTGGCATTGAAAGATTATGTTGTGTCTGCTATTGCTGTTCCGGACCCTGAGCTGCATTCTGTTATGTTTTCAAATGTGTCTCTGTCATTCAAACAATTACTTGAGCAGCAATTACTTGTCTGATGGATGTGCATTGGGCTGGGAAGCAGAAAGGAGCAGTCCTGAGCTCACAGAAAATACTCAGTGTCATTGCCAGTGACGCACAGAATGGGTAAAACTAAGATGGAACTTAATAAAGTCACAGAATCACAGAATGGTAGAGGTTGGAAGGGACCTCAAGAGATCATCTAGTCCAATGCCCCCTCCTCAAGCAGGGACACCAAGGTCACATGGCACAAGGTCGCATCCATTCCCTATTTAGCCTTCTTATTGCAACAATTCCTGAAAATAAATAGCTTTTTTGTTTGTTTCATGTTTCCTTAGGCAGACCTGAGTCTGTGTTATATGCACTCTGTGCAAATATCTTTTGGACAAGAACTGGTAGCTGGTCCCCAAGGTTACTCTTGCAAAAATCTAAGAATAGATAATACCATCTAACCATGCAACTTCATTTTCAGCAAACCACAGCCATGTATCTCCTGTGCGTCTCTCATTCATTCACTTACTCACTCACTTTCTCCTTATAGAAATATTGTGGTGTTTGTGACACTTGATGAAATTCCCAGCAGCTTCACGGGCATGTGGATGACCTAAGAGCAAACAACACAAGATACTCACACAAATCTGCTTTCCTGGCATTTCTCATCTGTATAACTTTCACAGTGAGCAGGTTGCATGGAGACGGCTCCGTCTGTTGAACAAAATTTGTGTAATTAACATGCATGGAGAAAGAACACAAACACAGTTAGTGATTGTATTGGTTAAATGTTTTAATTTTCTAACATATTTCTGGACTGAGGTTCTTCCTTGTACATCGTTATCTCCTTCATCCCTGAAGGCTTACAGCTAGGCATGACCACAGACTTAAAATATGCTTCCAGTAATAGACCAAACCTCTGATGCCCTTCACTTTCCATTGAGAAGTCATCTGTGGAAACCTTTAAGTTGAGGTGTCTGACTGATTTTTAAAACCTAATCAGAGAAATACATGACAGTGAACCTTGTTAAGTTACTAAGAAAACCAGCATTCATCTATATCTGCATAAATTCAAAGGATGTCATACATATCTACTGTATTTCACAATGAAGAGCAGACAATCTAGCAGGGCAGGAATTAGTAAGAAAACTGTGATGTAACAATACAGCTCATCAGATGCTTTATTGCCATTTGTAACTCCATTCTTATGCTTCATGTAGAGCAGAATTGGCACACAGACAAGGAGGACCTGAAAAATATCTCTCAGGGGCTATACCAAACTTCCCAAAACCTTTCCAAAAGCAGGGAATGAAAGCAACAAACCTGTTATTTTTCCCCCACAGAGCAATTTCACTCTTCCAATCTGCCCTTAGGCAGAGGCCACATGAAAGTGTCCTGGAAACCTCGGGAAGCCACCTATATCTAGGTGGTTATCAAAAAACATCTGACAACCCTGCCAGGAAACAGGGTTCCTTTCATCATCCTCCTGTGGGGCTTAACCAAAACTACTGGGGCTAAGAGTGAGGCAGCAGCATGCTCCCTAGGTAATCTTGTGTTTAAGGAATGAAAAGAAGAATGTCTACATTTTTAATACTCTGAATCGCCAAAATAAAAATAAGATATTATAAATAAAAGCAAGACTACACAACAGCAGAACGAACAAATTCAAAAAAGACAACTAAGGCATACTGCCTGGAGAGCAGGGAATACCGCTGCAACAAATCTGCAGTTCAACATGCAAGTGTATCAATGATTATGTCACCGTTCGTTCCCTCATGCCCCCCAAACACCTCAGCTTCTAAGAGAATACATTCTTAATATTTTTGTTTTCTGGTTGTCCCTATTAGTTTCCCAATGAGAATTTCCTCATGGACGCGAGTGACACCTCTATTTCCTCTCAGCAGGGTACTTGCCCAGTCTAACTGAATGGAAGGACAAGGACACCAGCAGTGCTTAACAAGATACTTTTTTTTTTTTTAATTGGGGATTTAAAAAACATAATTAAGCTACTGCAACATTAAAACTCCGGCGCTCATCTGCCTGAGGACATAAAGGAGGTGCAAAACCCATGCAAAAGCCGCCTCCTGCTACCAGCCCCAGAGCAGAAGGAGGGATCTTGCTGGGGATGAAGCTACAGGAACAACCAGGCTTCCCACATCCTTCCCCCTGCCACGAGGGCCGAGCCACCGCACACCCCACCACGGCGCCCCTTCCCCTACCTGGCTGTGGCTGTAGAAAGCCCCCATGGCGGTGCTGGCCGGCGCGGGACGTGGCCGAGGCCGGCGGCGTCCCCAGGCAGCTCCTCGTGCTTTAAGCTGCGGCAGGGGCCGGGCAGGTGCTCCTGCCTCACGCAGGACCCGCCTTGCCCCATGGCCAGCGCTTGCACAACACCCTCATCATCACCATCACCCTCCTCCTCCTCCTCCTCTCCAGGCGCACAGGGCAGGAGAGACGTCTTTGCTGCTGTAGGGAGAGTTGCCCTGAGGGACATTCCCTCCCTGGGGCAATTTATGGGTGTTTTAAAGCATTTCTGGTGCTTCCCGGGGGTTTTGCGCACTGGAGGGTGGGCGAGCTACAGTCTCTCATGCAGAGTGCACCTGGCTGCTCAGCCACAGGCAATGAGGTGATCGTCGGCCAAGGATGTTCACACAAACCGGAGTGCTCACAGAGGCATTTTATAGCTTTCTGTTGTCTACAGGGTGTTGGTTTTCACACTCAACCAAAAGGCAGTTCTCCCCATCCCAGCTTCCATCTTGCTCGCAGGCAGTAAGCTCTCTCTGCCAGGAAACAAGGTCTTTGTAGGGCAGAAAATAGCAATTAAGACTTTGACATTTATTATCACATATGAACTAGGGGATAAAACAAGGTCTTTCATTTTTACAGAAATAGGATGCAAATAAACAAACGTGTTCTATGAGTGTGGTGACCCAGGGAATGCTAGAAACTTGGTCATAGCTGCTGTGCTGCAAGACTGGGGAGCTGCTCCCCACGTCCCCCAGGAGTGTTCTGACCTACCTCGAAGAGTTAATGAATTTATGTTTTTTCTCCTTGTAAGAAAGTAGTCGTATTCAGGAGAGATCAACCTCAGATGGAAGCAATCCATCTCTCCTTTTTTTTTTTTTTTAAATAAATATTTCTTGTTACAGTCATGGAGTTTCTCCAGTGAAAAACACTGCATGAAACAGTTCCCAAGCCACCAGAACCCAAGGTTGTAAGAGAGTTTCCATGGCAAAGGCAAAAATTTCAAAATCACATTCAAGTTTTTACTCTGTGCATCTAAAATGAGGTTGGAATAACTGCTCTCAAAGAAAATGTGTTTGGGAGGGAGTCATCTGAAATCAGTATTAATTATTCTTTATGTTGCTCTGGTATTTATAATGCCTCACTGTGCTGGTCACTTCTAGGATCATGTGAGGTGGTCCCTGCATCCATCTTCTTACAAACCGGACACCAGTGTATGCACAAGAGGTAAACAAGGTAAGGGAGCACTAAAAATAGAGCATCATCCCCACTTTACAACTATTTCATGGAAGATTGTGTTCATAAAATAATCAAGTTTCACTTTAAAATGATGTAAGAAAATTAATTGGTAAGGGGAACTTCCCATATGATACGATTTGAATATTTGGCAGAGAAAGGAACTCTAACTTCAGAACACACAACAAATATAAACGACAAATAATAAACAGATTAAGTAAGGATATCTAACAGATCTCAAAAAGCAGCAGCCAAAGGAAGGTACCCCCAAAGGAAAATATATCCAATAGAATTCAAGCAGCTCAGGTGTAATGCAATTGTGTGTTTTTATGAGTAATCTGGAAATTTTAAAAACTCCTCCAGATATACTTGTAGCTAACACAAAAACAGTAATAAGGCAGATAGGGCTGCATCACGGAGTAAGATAGGTTCATTCAGATCTTTTAGTATAGGCACAATGGAAATATGCTTATGCCTAAATACATGGTGTGCGGAATCTATAGGAATTATCACCTGGAAAACAGTCTGGGAAAGCAGAAAATGGGCTGACCTTCCAATGTGACCCTGTGATAGGGAGACCTAGTGCAGCCTGTGGTAGAACGAACAGGCATCTGAGGAGCAGGAGGATGTGATTCCCTCTCAAGGTAAGGCTGATGGAAGAGGGATGCTGCAAAGATTTGGGGCCCTCTTTCAAATAGTAAATATTGAAGTCATCAGAGAGGATAACGGAAAGAACTTCAGGATGATCTACAAGTCAGTTTTGTGTTGGCCAGGAGAACACAGTGCAGATGCAACACGCAGCTCACTTGGGAAGCAGCCCGCTCACGTCAGCGTAGCAATTTGTCACAGTAAGAAGATGGGATAATTCACCTTGATTAAAAGCAGGGCTGCTAATCAGGCCAGACTGTCCAGCTGTTTTGTGTGTGTGTGTGTGTGTGTGCGCGCGCGTGTGTGTGTGTGTGTGTGTGTGTGCGCGCGTGTGTGTGTGTGTTTTCTTTTTTCTGTTCTATGACTCTCTTTCTGTAAGAGGACTGAGACAAATAGCTGCCATCCTGCTCTTTTATTTCCAGAAAGAAAACAAAACAACACACACACAAAAAAAGAACTAGAAGTTAAGAGAGTGAAAACAAAAGCATCGCAGGAGGGCAATCCAGCGAGGTCACTGTAGGTTTCTAGATCACACTTAAAATACACTGAAGCAGAATTAAATTTGCTTCACAATAAGCAGGACTACAAATCTAGATTTTAAAACGTCATACTGCACCTAAAAACAGGGCTACAGCATGTCCTTCTAAATGTATCCTAGCACAAACACAATGACTAGGCTCTTGGGGGAAAACAACAAAATGCTTTGCATGCACCATCAGCTAGGTTTTAGGGGGGTTATGTGTTTTTTGGTTTTTTTTTTTCCCGAAAGACAGAAGTCTGTCTTTCACATCCATTTCTTACAATTTTTTTTTTATAATATATGTGTGTGTGTATACACACATATAAAAATTATATATATATTTCTTAGAACTTTGTTATAATAGTATATAAGCAATTTGGTCATAGATGATTATGATCAAGACCATCCTGACCTCAACACTAGTTCGACCCTGCTGATTCTGAAATCCTGGCAAGAGCACAAGCCTTTTGCTACCAATAGCCAGATAATCCCTAGCACTTCCTGAGCGGCCGTGTACAGTCTCTCCAGGTATCACAGCTTCTCAGCACAGGGCTGCTGCTGAAAATCCTCTTACAACAACCCAAAAAACAAGAGATCATTTGTGGGATAGTCCTGAATAGTGTAAAGAACAGAGCTGAAAGGAAGCGCAAAAGGTCTTAAACTATCATATCCAAGACAAGGAACTAGCAGCCGCTTACCATCTTTGGGAAAAAAAGAGAAGAAAAAAAAAAAAAAAAAAAAAGAGGAGAAATTTCAGGGACATCTTTTCCTGAGGATGTCCACCTAATGATGGACAGGACAGGATAGTTAGCAGTGACTCCAAGAGAAAATGAAAAGAAGAGAACTTTGGAAGCATGACCACTGTTTAAGGTGAATATAGATTGTTCTGTGAACAGCATGAACAACCGTCTTGATGTTGTGAAACAAAGATTAGTAAATTCAGGAGTATTATTATGGATGGTGACAAGTTTATAGGTTCTTACATCAATTATGGTACTTAAGGAAGGATCTTACCTTCCAAGCTTAGGAAAGAAGACTAGTTGAATTAAAAAAAGAGAGAGGACAATCAAATCAGACAACAACCTTCAGTGCATCAATACTGAAGGTAAGCAGGACCGACACATCAGCTTTTACTCAAGGGATGCCAGTTCCAGAATCTGCCATTCTGCCAGGCAAAAATAAGTATAAAAATACTGGTGTTACATTTTTTATTTACTACATGATTTAATATTTCAGACAATGTTATATCAACTTACAAATACATATCATTTGGTATAATAACAAGTTAACAAAACTAAACTTGAATTTACTGTTTGAATCTGGTATTAAACCATTAGTAAATCTCAATCTGTTCATCTGAACAGCTTTTTAAATATTAAGGATGAAGCCCAGCAAGACCTCATGGTGCTGCAACTTATACTGCAAATAACACTGACAAGCATCAAACATTTTTATCTGAAGATAACAGTCAACCCAAGAAATATCCCGTGCAGAGTAAGGCTAGGGGACAGTGGCTAATACTTCTGCTGTTTCCTCCGTGCCACTGCCATGCGCAAGGCCCGAATAATCAAGTTTTCATTATTCAGGACATTGTAATCAGTCAGTTTCACCAGTTTATCAAAATTCCGTTCACTGAAACACACCTCCCTTGTGGTAAATGGGGAGAAGATGCTGGAGACATCAACATTGCCTTCAGGCATCTCCTCTGGAGTTCTTTCCACGCCTGAGGGAAAAAAATATATGGAAGTTCATCTGTATGGTTTTATTGTAGCATGTGGTTCATATCATTTTTTTAAGTAAATGCAGGTAGAAATAGGATATATGGGGAATGAGATGGTTTGCCAAGGGAGGTAAAAGCAACCTAACATTATATTCTTCAACTGTAGATACCTAAATGGCTGCAAATATGAACTCCACTGATAAACAGCAGCAGCAGCAATTGCTGACTTCTCCTTGGACAACATGATTTTTTGTCAGCCAGGCCAGTAAAGCAGCTGCAGAAGGGGTATAAGATATTGAGCAAGAGAGAAATTGAGAGTTTCTGGAGTTTTCACCAGTTCAGACAAGCTGAAACAGTAAGAGTAGTTAATTTTGTAAATGATGAGACTGATAAAGCTGACATTAGAAAGCAGGACAGAGCTGACAGTGAGACATTAGAAATGGGGAGGACACACCAAGATGGTGGCTTTTTATTAAAGTTGATAACCACAGATAACTCACCAGGAGCTTTGTATTTCTGGAAGGTGTCATTTACTAAGGGGAAAAAGAGCACTGTTGGAGCATGTGGACTTTCAGCATCTTCAAACACGTAGCATTCCTTTAGGTTTTCCCTGTCTTCCTCACTTATCTCAATTTTGGGAAATGGGATTCCCTGCCCTGAGATGTACTTTGCAATCTGATCCAGAGGCTGAATAGATGAATAAAAAATAAAATAATATTTAGAAAACTCAGAAAACTAGATTTCTAAACAGTGCCAATGAACACTAATAGCCTGAGGTCTGAATATTGCTCTGGGAACACCTTAAATTTCATACAGTAATGGTCATAACACCATCAGACACTGCAGGTTTTTTCTGCACCTCTTTAGGCAAAAGAAGAAAC